TTCCGATAGAAAAAGTGAGCAGTTCTTCGCTGGTTTCTTCCATATATCACACTGAAGCCAGGTAAAAAAAATGTTTACGTCATCCTATTTACGTACGAGCGTGCGTAAATAAAGATAGGACTTATGTAGTGCAAGCACGCGCGCTATGTTACAACTGAAGACTAACCACACTGTATAACGGAATCAAATCAACGTTTTTCATTTTTGATTGAATCCTTGTCATATACATAAGAGGTAGTTTTGTTTCCATAAATTTGACCAACCTGTATACCTCGGGAAAGGAAACCATGATCCTGAACTTCTTTCCAAAAGTCATTAACTACAACTAATTGCATTTGACTTTTTAAATTTTATTTCCTTTGTCGATGTCGTGCTTTTAAGCGCTGCCGTATTGAAAAGCAACCCTGAATATGCAATGAGAAGTTTTCAAATTATTGAAACTACAGGTTTACCGGTGACCATTGTTTGGACACAAATCTCTGCGATGACAAAAACATTTTGCTCTGTTTTTGCCACTTTTGCAGAGTGGCAGGAAACAAACCTGTCTGTTTTACATGCAGTGTTCACCAAAGTCATGTTTCCTGAATGCACATCTTTTTTAGATGCAGAAAGCACAGTGTCGAAAGCATCATCGTAAGTGTCAATTTTTTTTTTTTGAAACGGTTTCCTATTGGTACTCGTTGAGTGGTTTTAGTTTTCTATCAAGTCTATTTGATATCTTTCTAATTGCCTGATGAATATGGTTTACTGTTTGCTGCTTGTATTTTGAACTTTTGTTTCGTTGTTTTACCGTTAGCAGTCATTGTCTTTCTGTTGTCAAATGCCATCAATAGCTAACCTACTTTTCTGTTTCTTTTTGAATGTTTATTTGTAACCTGTCTCTACACAGAAATCAACGCAACTTTCACGACAATTTGCCCATGGTTACTTTGAATGGATGTGCACAGCCTAGTTTTTCCGCGGGAAATGAGACCATGAATGAGACGCTCCAACGTGAACCGTCTGTCCAGCGGGAGGGTTTATATGCCACACTGTGTCCTCAGTCAATGATGGTAATCATACATAAAATGAAACGAAAACTACTCACTAGGATCCAAATATTATTTTCAAAAAACAAACAGATAAAAAAAAATTAACTTAAAATTTTCCAAACCAATAAAACTGTCTATTTCGTAGACGCCTGAAGGGAATGATTCACGAACGTACGCGTCGATTGAAAAATCTACAAGAGAAGCAAAAGACATTGAATATGAGATTCCAATACCAACTCAAAGGTATGCTAGTCACCATCAGAAAACGTGTCAAAAGCTATGGTGGATTGTTTGTTAGACATTTAAGGATAATTTTATATTATAAAGCTGAAGTAAAGCACTTAGATTTTGGGAGGTGTTTATTTCATGGGTGGCAATCAATCCACAGATTTTCCTCTCCGCTCAAAAACATATGTACCCTTAAAATTTCGGTTTTATTCATTCCTCACATCAATTAACAGCTAACCTAGATTTGTTTCCTCTTTTGTTGTTGTTTTCTTTTTATTTATTTATTTAGGCTCCAACGTAAACCGTTTGTGCAACGAGAGGGTGTATATACAGCGCTGTGCCCAGAGCCAATGATGGTAATGAATTAAGCAAAAAATGAATTTGAATTACCTAATATGATCCCCATATGGTTTTGCAACATTAGATTTTCAAAAAAAAACAAACAAAGAAACAAGATGAAATGAAAAAAAAAAAAACGATACGTTAAAGTGTTTTCAAACTACCAGCTATATGCATTTATCTATTCCTCTATATATCTATTTAAACATCGCAATTTCTTTGGTAAAACGTCACATTATTGCTAGCGAGAGGGATCGCATTTGGAAACAGGCATTACGTTACAATACCACTAGTCTAAATTTTTAGCCGTATTTATGCCAATTAAAAAATCTATATTACTGAAAGATGTGGTAGATTAATTTATGACCTTAACAGTAAACACAACATGTCACAAAGACGTGAATAGAAGTATCATTGAAATACATACATGTTTTACACGATCAGGAGAAAATAATATTTTCACTTGACACGAATTATCCATTTTGTTCATTTACAATGGAGTGTGTAGTCAAGTAAACAACAACTATCAAAGGAATCGAGAGCACAGTTCGATAAACCTTGTCTCTCATGTCGATTACACCATCAGTTTTCTCACGAATAAAACTGGATATTTTTCAGGCTCCAGAGGGATAGGTTTCCCGAAGTTACATATCTACAGTGGAAGACAGCGACGTTGAATATGTGGATCAAATACCTGCTCCTGAGTATATTAACGCTTGAGTGGATTGCTCAGAAGACGGTTGGCGCTTATTCAGGACGCTGGAGTAATCAATGTAACAATAGTACTTGTCCCAGCAAAGCCACCAAGGGAAAACAAGAATTTCCGTTGACACAGCGTTAATTCAATCGCGGTTTGAGAAACCCACTTCTTGTAAATGGAATGTTGGTTATGTTATTTTGTCGTATAAACAATCTTTTTTGTTCACGCATGTTGCGCCTGATGATGTGAAACTCGCTATTACCACTGCTTGGAACTTATAGCAGACTCGCCATTAAATAATTATGATATTAATAATAACGAGAAAACAACTCAAAATATTTCTTTTATACTAATATAGCTATATAAATTCGTGATGATCACTGTCATTAAGTATGTTTTAAAAATGAATTTTTGCAAGCGTAATAAAACATTACACACCAGTTAAATTCCATTGTACAGTTGATGCTTAACCTAAAGCAACGAACAAAAACAAAAAAGCATCATATCATTCATAATATGTAATCCCTGTTAGAAGAAAAAAAAGTAGAAAGCGAGGCAACTGTATCTGCACACGCGCATACGTTTGAGACTGGGAGATGGCGTGATGGGTGAATAATGATAAATAAATGTGATTAAGATGACTATAAGTCTTGCGCCTTCCAGCGCAAGACTCACAGCGTTGACATATCGATACCTTTTTTGACTGTGAGGTCCTTTTGTACGATTTTTAAAAAAAGGCTTTAAGGTTATTGTTCCGGAACCCGTTAATTCTTCCCCCTAGTAATTTTTTTTTCCTTTGGGCTATTTCATAGACCGATGCATTCAAGTGATGGGAGCAATATTGCGCACAGTGAATTTGAACTCAAATAGACAATATTTATGAAAGATTAAGATATATCAGCTTTCCTTCCTATATTTTTAGATAATTCTTTGCTGTTGAAATCGAAATTTTATAAGGTGCTAATTAACAGAGCTGACGGAAGCGATTTGTTTTCGATATGGCAAGTCTTCCTGGAGCCATTTTATGAACTACACGCTTCAGTTTGTAAAACAATAACAGCAACACAAAACAAACGAAACACTGGCTTCATCCCGCTGCTTCTGTTGTTATACCCAGCTACATTATCATTGTCATCGCCCAATAAAAATTTTTCTCTGAACATAAGTCAGTAGCCACAACTATAAAACGTTTCCCCTGCGGAAAGCCTTAATTCGAGAAAAGCATTCAAGTAAATTGAACAGGTATGTTTGCCGGCTGTTCACCGGGCTTTTACGAACATGAAACAATCGTTTTCCGGGTGTTAACTGTGAAGGAAAACCGCCGGATAATGGACGAATACTTTCATTAAACGACTGGAAAGCAACGGGAAATTTCGGATTGTTCTTTTAGAAAATGTTAGAGAGCATTCCTAAATTGCATTGTCCTAACTGGCCATTCATTTGAGCTAAAAATATTTTTGTTGCGAGTAATTCCGTTTCAAAAATTGAAAATCGTTATGTTGACCTTTTTTATCCTCAATGCAAATTTTACTTGAAGTTTGTAGTCACTTTTCTCAACGAATATAACTACAAGTGAATGAAGATTTTAGATATATGAAAATTCACATATTTGCACTGCGGTGGAAAGATGAAATTAGGGGATCCTCGCAGCTAAGAACACTACTGAAACGAGTAGTTGTAAATAGGACCTGAAAAAAATTTCAGGCCCGTACGGGATTTGAACCCATGACCTCCGCGATACCGGTGCAGCGCTCTACCAATTGAGCTAACAAGCCAACTGGGAGCTGGTCAATGAATTGGGTCCAAATAAACATCCAAGTGAATGAAGATTTTTAGATATATGAAAATTCACATATTTGCACTGCGGTGGAAAGATGAAATTAGGAGATCCTCGCAGCTAAGAACACTACTGAAACGAGTAGTTGTAAATAGGACCTGGAAAAAAGAGGTCATGGGTTCAAATCCCGTACGGGCCTGAAATTTCTAATTTCATCTTTCCACCGCAGTGCAAATATGTGAATTTTCATATATCTAAAATCTTCATTCACTTGGATGTTTATTTGGACCCAATTCATTGACCAGCTCCCAGTTGGCTTGTTAGCTCAATTGGTAGAGCGCTGCACCGGTATCGTTGAGGTCATGGGTTCAAATCCCGTACGGGCCTGAAATTTTTTTCAGGTCCTATTTACAACTACTCGTTTCAGTAGTGTTCTTAGCTGCGAGGATCTCCTAATTTCATCTTTCCACCGCAGTGCAAATATGTGAATTTTCATATATCTAAAATCTTCATTCACTTGGATATTTATTTGGACCCAATTCATTGACCAGCTCCCAGTTGGCTTGTTAGCTCAATTGGTAGAGCGCTGCACCGGTATCGCAGAGGTCATGGGTTCAAATCCCGTACGGGCCTGAAATTTTTTTTCAGGTCCTATTTACAACTACTCGTTTCAGTAGTGTTCTTAGCTGCGAGGATCTCCTAATTTCATCAGAATATAACTACACTTATACGAGCGTGATTAGATAAGACTCTTTATACGTACAGTAATATTAATCATGGCGAATTCAATAAATGGCTGAGGAAATCAATAAACGGATGAACACTGCCTGTGCTATTTCATTTACACTTCATAAAGTTTCATTCTTCGTTATTTCAGCATTGACGTATTCAGCCGGATCAAGTTGGTTTAAACGGATTTCAACATCACTGAATATTTCGACTGTATCTGTTCTAAATTTGAATCTGCGGGATATTATGAGGACTGCCGCTTGCACTTTATTACTGTTTGCATTTGGTGTCGCTAATGCTACAGAAGACCAAGTCACTGATGGTAAGTACATTCATCCTAAGTATGTTATCATACTTTGAATTCATCTCGGTAAAATATAAACTGAAGGCAATCAAACGTGAACACTGTAAATGTGTCTTTCTTTCGGGGACTCCGCTGCAATTGCTTCAATGCTTACCTTTGCAAGAAGATCAGATTTGTATACATTTGGCAAGAAAGGCCGAAAAGAGCCGACGGATGGTTGGGGTAAATTATGAAAAGGACAGGAGCCATTATTATAACTTGATACTCTACAAATCAGCTTCCTTCATCTTCCGTCAGCTCTGTTCCTTAAACACCTTACAAAATTTTGATGTCAGCCTCACTGAACATTTTCGATCTTCTCTGCTCTGAACTTGAATCTACGGAATATTTTGAGGACCGTTATTTGCGTCGTATTTCTGTTTGTATTTGGTGTTGTCAAAGCTACTAAATCCCAAGTCACCGATGGTAAGCACCTTTATCCCTAAGCATATTATTATACGTTGAATTCATATAAACTAAAGGTAATCAAACGTGTACACTGTAAATGTATTTTTTTCTGGCGGAGATTCCGCTGCGATGGTCTTAATGCTTTCCTTTGCAAGAAGATCAGGTTTGTACACATTTGGCAAGAAAAGCGAACTGAGTCGACGGATGGTTGGGAAAAAATTTAAAAGGATATGAGTCAATTATTATAACTTGATACTCTGCAAATCGGCTTCCCTCAGCTTTCGTCAGCTCTGTTTCTCACAAACCTTATTAAATTTTGATATCTACCTCACTGAACATTTTCAATCATCTCTGCGCTAAATTTGAATCTACGGGATATTTTGAGGACCGCTATTCGCACCATATTTCTGTTTACATTTGGCATTAATAATGCTACCGAAGACCAAGCCACCAATGCTATGCAAATTTCTCCTTAGGTTTTTAATCATACTTTGAAATCCTTCTTTGTAAAATATGAACTGAAGGCCCTCAAACGTGTACACTGTAAATGTCTCTTTCTTGCGGAAACTCCACTCCAACTGTTTCAATGGTTTTCTTTTAAATCAAGGTTAGGTTTGTACACATTTGGCAAGAAAAAGCGAACAGGGTCGACGTATAGGTTGGGGAAACAATTTGCATAGGATATATGAGTCGATTATTTTGACTTGATGTTCTAAAATCAGCTTTGAGGAACCTGCACCTTCAGTTCTCTTTCAGTGTAGCTTCGTCTGATTCTTGAATGATATTTACAATTAAAAGATAAGTAAATAGAGCATTTTTCCTTGTTTGTCTTTTTTCTCTTTTATCGGTCGGCTTCCCATAAACATTAGATACTGTCTGCTCCAAGTATTCTTTCCGCAAAGAAATAATTGACTGGAAAACAGCCAGGGAAAGATGTGGCAATCAAGAGAATGGTTCACTTGTCTCTATGGAAACCGAAAAAGAATGGCACTTTGTCAGGAACTTAACCGGAGAACTCAAACGAGGAAAGACACGTTGGTTCATTGGCTTAGAAACAGTTGATGGATCTAATACGTGGAGCTGGTTGAGTAAAAGCAAAGCCTACGTCAACAATGGCTCAACTGGAACATGGCGTTGGAGTGAAAACGAACCAAATCATTTGAAAAAAGAAAAATGCGGAGAGATGTTACAAAACGGAAAGTATAACAACATAGCGTGCCAAAAAGAATCCTATGATGACAGTCCAGGATATATATGTGAAAAGCAAGTCAGTAAGTTCATGATCATGCTGAAGCTATGTTAACCCAAATAAAAATCACAGTAAGAAAAAAAGAAAGTTGTAAGCGAACTTTGGTTTTGAAGCGAGTAACTCATATTCATATTTTCTTGCTAGTTTGTCCCACCATATCCAACAATTCAGAAAATGGTGATATTTTTATTGAGAGAACGAAAAGACCTCGATCAACCCCACAGCCGTCGGTGACAAAGGCGACGTCCACCTCACTCAGAACTCAGTTGACGAATACTCGCAATAAGCTTTCAGAAGGTAAGATTTACTTCGCCTGAAATTTTAACCATACAGAATTAACAAAATTAATACGCGATTCCAGTTCGTTAACATCACTTGGAAAAAATAGCGATGACACTGTGACTAGAAGATCTATTGCTATAAATCAAGCTTTAAAACATATAAAAGACAGTGAACTCGTCTAATGGGTAAGAAAAAAACAAATTAGAAGCGATGTTTTGAGCGTTTTAATGCGCTATTTTGCACGCGCAGTGGCACGAACAAAACAAAATGTCTTTTTCCCACAACAGCCTCTACACAACAAGAGGGGAAAATTCTATTAAGAGACCGTTTGGAGAAGGGATCATTCTTCTACCATTTTACACTTGGACGCCCTGTTAGCGACTATCAATTTCGGCGTCTCGTTCAATTTCGATGACGTTTCGTCGCGTAATCATTTAATCTTAAAGGCTTTTACTCCTTGTCTGTGACTGACAGATAAATATTAAGATGGTAATGAATATCATTATTATATCTCGATCAGTTTTTCTTAAAGTAAGAAAAATTCGAAGAACATCTACTCTGCTAAGCTCGTGACGGCTGGTGATTCATACTACAAAAAGACAATTTGATTTTTCTCTTTAGTTTTTCCTCAACTACCTTGAGCGTATTGGCAGCATGATAGTTTTGAAAACGAATGGTTCTCGAACTACCTTGCTTTTAGTGACTCAACTTGAAGAAACTCAAGCGAATGCTTGAGGGTGACTATGGATAAAAAAAATGGTAGGGCTACCTACCATTCTCCTATTAGATTAATTAGCGAAACCAGAAAGACTACTATCCTGAGTGTAACTGCGGGTCTTTTCTTATTTTATTATTTTATTTTTATTTTCTGTCATTGATTAACAAACTGTATTTCAATTTCTATTGAGAGTCTCCCGGCGGTGTGGAATCCCAAAGAAGGAAGAATTGCCTCTTCTTCTTCTAAAGCACGGGTTACATGAGTGTCAGTTAATCAAGACCCCAAAACCGAAAAAAATCCAAAGAGTGACTTTTTTGTTTAAGCAGCAGTACTCTTTTAGCCATTTCGTGCCTCGTCCCCATTGGCTAAGTATATTTATTGTTTTTTTAGAGGGCACGGTAACGAATCTTGCAATCTGATTGGTTCTTTACCCGGTCAGTATTTTCCTATCTCTGCCCACGGGCCACGGTAACGCTTTCGTGAGTCGCCGAGTACATCCCAACTTTCCTTGTCATTTTTCATAAACATACCTCGTTTTCCGGCTGGGCAGTCTTTTTAAGCAAACACGTCGGTCACTACCTCAAGCCGATAAATAACTTATGAATCCTCTCTTTTCTCTCTATCAAATCACTTTGGTTGACAGAAAAATATTGGTTTCAGAATGAATTTGTATAAACAATAGTGTCATTACGTTGGTTGACAAGCGGCCTAAAAACCGTCTGCAATTAATTTTAATCGTTCACAAAAAGTACCCAGAAAGTTAAAACGTGAGGTATTTGGTTACAGTTAAACTGAACGATGGAACTTTCATTCATTTAATATCTGAATTTTCTCGAGCAATTTGTTCATAGTGAAAGAGCGAGCGAAGTTTTAATTTAAGTTCTACAACAAATATACGCTCCTGGTGAGTCTTTCCAATTCCGTTCAATTTGGACATTTGTACCTTAAATTGCACAACAGAAATTGAAGGAATTTTTTGAGAAAAGGCCGCATTACATTCCCTTGTATCTCGTTGGAGTGTGCCGTTCGAATTTAGTTTTTGTGAAGGAAAGATCAGAGTTAAACACGCCATTACAGCAAACAAACGAGCAAACTCTCACAACTTCAAAATAAAAAAATTGAATTTACTCACAATTACTTTCCTCGCCGTTTACTTAATGAACAGAGATAAATCTTCGTACATGAATGAATGGTCGATGAGAGTGAATAATACTTTCCGTTAGATCATTAACTGATTTTGAAGAAAACATTGTCGTGACAGTCCTTGCCAAACTAGTTCTGTTGGTTTTCAAATGTTCCTACGCTTTTTTTTTTTTCTTACGCGCTCTCTAATTGACAGGTGTCAGATTGTGACAGATACTTGTAAAAATAATGTTTCAAAGTTTGTTTGGAAGCCTTTTAAATCACCTTTATCGTTACCAAAATGAAAATGTTTCGCTGAGGCATCTCTCTTAAATTTGCATCACCTCTATTTTAACTACCATTTACTCACTCAAAAATTGTTCAGTTTATGGAAGATCTTGCCGTATTTACGGCCATAAATCATTCGGGTTCTTTCGGAAAGAATTTCGTCAAGTTTAAAAACAATAAATATGTTATTTACCGGCTAAGGGTCGGTCCGTATGGTGAAAAACTGTGACCTCGGTCTTGAAAATGCTGCCCTCGGCCTACGGCCTCGGGCAGTATTTTCAAGACCTCGGTCACAGTTTTTCACCATACGGACCTCCCAGCCGGCAAATAACATATATATCAGCATCAGTTAACAATATTTGGAATGATGAAACAGATTCGTCATTAGAAACTTTGAAAATGGGATTTGAAAGTGATTTGGTTTCTCTCTTTAGCAAAGAATTTCAAGAGCGCTTGGGGCGAAGAATCAATCAAAGAATGACGCGCGGAATTGACTATACTTGAAGTCTAGTGGTGCAAATACGCAGCGACACCAGAGACTCAAAAGAATTCAATTTTTAGGACTACGTAACTTTTAAATCTGACAAATAAGTTGGCTTAAAGACTGCTGAATAATGTGATCGTAAAAGGTTTAACTTCTTACCTGAAAATCCGTCCCTAGTGACAGAGTTCTAAGATCATTTTTGTGTAAGGTGTGATGTACCACCTTGATAAAAATGACATCATAAGGACAGTCAATTCGCACAGTTTCAGGTAAAGAAAGATGAAATTAAACAATTAGGTTTCGATTTACTGGTATTTTGTGAGCATATAAGTGAAATAAATTGAGGTATTTAATAGGTTCGTGGGTAGTTCTAAATGTAACGATTCCTGTAACTAATTTTCTCTGTTGCTTTGCGTCAGGGTCGTCTCGGAGGCCACAAACACCGAAAACTACTCGTTTTAAGGAATCATCAACAAAGGCGGCAAAACTACACACCCAACCAACGACTGGAACATTTTCAACACCGCAAGACCGATCCACATTCAATCTCTCAACACAAGGTATAATGTAACTTTATCAACGTCGTCTATCTATGTTATGAACGTCTATATGCTTCTAGCTGTTTTTATGCATATCTAAATCCATGAAAGTTATTACTTGATTGCCAAAGTGTTAGGTGAAGAAAGATGAAATCAAACAACTAGGGTTCGATTTATTGGTATTTTGTAGGCATATAAGTGAAATAGATTGAGTTATTCAATAGGTTCGTGGCTAGTTAAATCATGCATTGCTCTCTTTATATAACACCAAAGTAATGTTAAGAGAGAATTTTTCTGGAGACCACGTGAAATCCAAAAAATGTGGCACATGCCTAGAAAAAGCCCTACCTTCATACTTCGCTCAAAGATACCTTAGGGTAAGTCTATAAACGTGGTATAATTTTTTTTTTCAGAACTGTTTTTATTTTCTAGAAAATCACCAAACACTATATCGAGCCCCAACCGCCATAACAGTGGCCGAAATGAAGCCGACGAGTAGGGCAACAAAAACGTTATTCTTCAAAAGCGCAAAAGAAAGCAAGTCTTTCCGAATATTATCTATTTGTATACGAGGTATTAACAAATGATTTGAATCTAATAACGGGATTATTGACATAACTATGAATTATTGGCGAATATTTGAAAATCGCCAAAATTTGATTGATTAAAAATTTCATTTTGGAGCAGTTTTTCAATAAAAATTTTTCCTACTCGGTATAACTCGGAATCACTTGAGATGAGCATTTCTGAAAATTGGAAACGATGTTCTTTTCAAGGATATAAAAATTAATTTGGGGCTCTTAATTACTGCGAAGAAATAGCCCGATCTATTTCGTGCAAATCGCAACGCCGCCGTGTAAACAACCGCAGATAATCCAATTATTCTTTTATTATCGAAGCCATAATTTCTTCAAATTATTATCGAAGCCATAATTTCTTCAAAATCTTACCGCTTTGAGCTGTGCTTTATCAGAAACTCAATATGTTACCCTTACCTTCTGAAACCAGTGATTAAGGAGTGATGTTTCCATTATTTTTGTTTCAAATCGCCATGTTCACTTGAAAAGTGTTTACAACGTCCGGCTTGACCATTTACAATACTCGGAGCTGTTCATAAATCATCGCAAACCATCGCAACTCTTGACTTATTTCTGCTTCCATACAACTCCAGTATATACAAAAGTCTTTTTAGCACGATAAACCAAGATGCTTTGATCGCTTACAGTTTCAGTTAAGAAACGTTTGGCTCCCCAAATGGCACAACGATGTTCACCAAGTTGTGTGTCATCACTCATGTTTGTCACGCAATCACGCTAAACGTGCACAGGACACCCAGACAGGCATTCGTCTGCAGACATCGCTGTACCGAGTGCAGGGCCAACTAATATTTATTTCTTAGTCAGTGTTATGTTTTAAACAAAAACCTGCGCGAATTCACTTAAAAAACGCTGTAGATCTCTTTTGAGTGTTTTGAATTAGTGCCATTCTGAAAAACTACTTTTTGACGTTTTCGTAAATTTAGTCACCCCCTGGTACTGACTATACATGCGTTGTTATCGACTCTATTTCCACGACTTCGCGCTTGCAAAGATTCTATTTATCAATAGGCACTTTAAGTATGACGTTTAACGGCAAACGGCAAACGCAAGCTTGCCTTTCATTTTGTTACCTATTTATGGAATTCTTAAAAAAATCCTGCACAAAAAATAAAATGAAATAAATCAAACCTACTTAATTCCGTTTACACACGCCTAGAGACAGACGACAGAAATTGAATTTTTGACGTTCGCGGGAAAAACAAACGTCATGCGCAACCTCTCAAATGACGAACTTCCCAGTAAACTAAAACAACTGGAAGTTAATTGTCTGGTGCTCCGTGATTATATACATCACCTACGTGTCCCTAGTGGATCGATAAGGTCTACCATGACCTTCAGTGGCAGGCAGACAGGTTCCACGGTGAGGCGTTCTTTTCTAATGACACTGGAAAAATTCTACCGACTATGTAAACAGAACAACAGACTAACAATTTCGTGCTTTATCTAAGCACTTTGAACGTTAAACTTCACTAAAAACGTAAATCTTCGAGTCACAAAGTCGGCCGATTGTAATAGGCCGCGAGACATTACGTGTTATTTGATATCGCCTGACTGTAGGTCATTACAATTACATTTTTAAAGCTTTGGACTTACACAATCTCTGTTTTTTGTTTTTGTTGTTGTTGTTGTTTTTTTTTTAATTTTCCTTACGATAGCGTGCTCATCAATTTAAACCTTTCGATTTTGTACCTTGATTGCTACGATGATAATGGCCATCGCTAGAAACTTGACAGTTTTCTCAACTCGAACTCGGAAAAAGTTGTTTCCCGTCCCTTAATCAAACAATTAATCGGCCATTCTTTGAGATCCCGAATTCTCGACAAGACAGAGGCGGCGTACCCTCGGAGATTCAAGAAATCAGGAAGTTCCTCCATACCAGCTAACTGAATGGGTTTTATAAAGCAAAAAAAAAAAAAGAAAGAAAGAAAGAAAGGAAAGGAATACAGTGTCATATACTTTAGGTGTTTTCCTGGTCAATGAAACCAATGAATTCAAGCTACATGTAGTTCGTCACTGCTGACAGGTACAGCTAAAACAAAGGGCTTCGATCTTGCTCACGTAAGGCTGCTTACGATGAACGGAGATATCGAGATACCGAAATATTGGAAGGCAACGTGAATATCGATGCCCGTGCTAAAATGAGATCGACTTCCGATTCAACATCATTCACGCCCACAGCCTGTTTGTGTGCTGAGATGTCTTTCTCACATAAGCGCAGAGGGACTATAAGAGAAGCTTTTCCTGCAACTCGACTTCGCTTATCTTGGGAGCAGCATCCCCCAACTAATCTTTGAAAGGAGCAATTGATTTCCATTTGGTACGCTCACCTCTTAAAAAAATCGGCGGCCAAACGAAAACACCATTTTAGTTTGCTTTGGAAAATTTATGGCGCGACGCTCATTATATGGTTAGAAACTGTGCCTAATCTAATTTATTTTTTTAGCGCTGAGTATTTTAGAAAGCTACTCCCAATTTAATTTTTCCACTCCTGCACCTGTCTACCCTGCAAGCCGTCACAATTTACAAAATAGGATAACACATTTTTTTACGTCGTTAAAAATTAATGCAGTGAAATTTCCTCTATGCTGTAGTAACATATAGCTAATTCATTTAGCAGTCTAGGGTGACGCATGAGTGGTATCGCGCTTAAAAAATGCAAACAACGGTAATTTTAAATTCTGGATTTAAAACTTTTTCCCGGAAATAAAAAATAGGGGATAAGAAGGAAAGAAAATAAGAGCGTATTGGTAACCGAGCCTCCTTTCGAGTGACATGTTATTGCGTGACACCATCGCAAAAAACGAACGTCAATGATTCATTTCATCTATCAGGATGCCCTGGCTCGTTCTATAAAAAACAAACTTCCATTCTTATTGTGAAAGGAAGACTTGTAAAATGTGAGTGTTCCAAGCTGAAATATGGTTATAACTGTCCAGCAATGCGACGTTTCCGGCAGGAACCTTCGTGAGATGTTTTCAGTGTGATTTGGTATACACCGCCTGTAGTGCTGTACTATCGAAGCTGTTGTCAAGTCTCTTTATAACAAGATTGAGGCAAGGAACCAATCTTAGAAAGGTGTTTTTCGCCAGGTGAGCCTAAGAAATCCAGTTTACAATCTAGTATAGGTCAAAGCGATAAGATTTTGTTGGAATTATGGCTTCGATAATTAAAAGCCTAATTGGATTATCTGCGGTAGTTTACATGGCGGCGTTACGATTTGCACGAAATAGACCGGGCTACTTCTTCGCAGTAATTAAGAGCCCCAAATCAATTTTTATATCCATGGAAAGAACATTCTTTCCACTTTGTAAAAATGCTCATCTCAAGTGATTCCGAGTTATACCAGGTAGGAAGAATTTTTATTGAAAAACTGCTCCAAAATGTAATTTTTAATCAATCAAATTTTGGCTATTTTCAAATATTCGCCAATAATTCATAGTTATGTCAACAAGCCCGTTATTAGATTCAAATCATTTTTTAATACCTCGTATACAAATAGGTAAAATTCAGAAAGACTTGCTTTCTTTTGCGCTTTTGAGGAATAAAGGTTTTGTTGCCCTACTCGTCGACTTCAATTCGGTCATTTTACGGCGGTTGGGGCTCGATACAGTGTTTGGTGAATTTCTAGAAAATAAAAACAGCTCTGAACAAAAAAATTATACCACGTTTATAGACTTACCCTAAGGTATCTCTGAGCGAAATATGAGGATAGTGATTTTTCCGATCATGTGCCACCTCCCACGCGGTGATAAAAAAATTCGCTCTTAATATGAATTTCCCAAAACCTTTGTTACAGATCGATTTTAGCAAATGACGAGAGTAACAAAGCTTAAGATCTTTCAAAAGAGTGGAATAGAAATGTAACTCATGAGTTTATAAAAAATTTGAACCTTTAATGTTTTAACGATCGATCACAGTTCGTGAAGATAACATTCTATTTCACTTGGTTATTAAGGTATCTTTATCCACCTTTTTTTTTGTTTTAGTGTCCATTAGAACCTTTTTCGGTTCAATCAGCCTTCGTTTCTTAGAAAGCCATTTAAATTAATATTTTTCTTTCTTTCTTGTTCAGGGACTACGTTTGAGAATACCGTTAATGAATCTTCTCCGCAAAACGTTTCAACCGGCAAGTTAAACTTGCTGTTTATCGTCATCGTGCTTCTGATTGTATTTATCGTGGCAATTGCAGTCGTATTCGGAATATTGTTTTTTCGGCGACACCAAAGTCATAAGAACCAAGGCAAGTTTCTTCCATCATTTATCTATTTGCTTATATTATCTTATTAGAAGTCATTCCCTTGTCTGGTATAGTACACTCCTTAGGTGATGTGAAGCCTTAAGATTCTTTACAAGGCTAGTTCTTCCATCAAATGGCATATTTTTCATGACAGAATGCTTCCTTATTACACACGTTCTTTATTTATATCCCTCCCCCCTTAAGATTTCAGTTTTCAAAAATGGCAAAATAGAATGTGCTGTTGTGTCGCATTTCTCAGGGTAGCAGGACCAAAACACTTGGCTTAATAGCTCCTCCTCTTTAAGACTATAACAGATGGTCTTTTCCCAGTTTTCTTCCAATGTTATTGTTATTGTACCTTGATCCTTTGTGTTTAAGGTAAGTTCTTCGACATGGATTTCATGGTGCTTTTGGCCTTTTCGAAGACTGAAAATGTAGAGGAGTTTCCCAAAGTTTTTCAATCAATCTCAGAGAATATGGTAAAAATTTGAATAAATAATTAAGAAACATATTCGGCAAAATCTGATAAAGTTGTAAAAATATCTAAGGGGAACAAAACACCTTACTCCCAGGTGGAAATAGGATTCTGTCTCCTTCCTGTTATAATTTGGGAGGGGAGGGGTCTGTAGATTGTACATCAGATAGTTGTTTATATCTTATCTTCACTTCCTATTAACATGTACGTTCTTCCTTTTTGTCCTTCATATTTTCTATTTTTTTATCGGCAACGACGGTATCGATGTGTTTTATCATGAAAACAACATAACGGCAAGTAGTATAAAGTAGTATACGCTAATCTTTAGTACTCCGTTTTTAAATGAACTCATCAAATCTTTTTTCTCCAAATTTTGAACATGGAAAGCCAAGTGGTTTGTAAATAAATTCTTCGGGAAATTAAGTGTCAACGAAAAACGTTTGAAATGATGGTAGAATATTTCCGATTTGGCTTTGAGTTTAAGGTGCTCTGGATTATACCACAAAGCTTTTTTTCAGTCGTACTTATCAAACGATAATAACAATCATTTTTATCGTCTAGATAATAGATTTTCTATTCCTTCTAAGCCCCATCGAGTGTTATTTTCATTTGATGCATCATATTTGCTTTAAAGTATACGTGTGACTTCCATCCTTAATAGTATGTTGCTTCTCTTTTGAAATTAACGTTCGAGGGCAGAATACGACGCAAACCTAAAACAAAAGTTTAAAAATATGAGCTTAATGAATATATCCTGATATATCCTAATCCCCCTAAGTGAGAGAGAATATCATTCTGCCTTACAGATCACCTTCAGATCGCCTCCAAGATCGGGTCACGTGCACCTACGAGGTGCCCCCGAGTTCCGAACTACAATCGATCGATCCTGCGCATGTTCAACAAATACAGAGCTCTGCAGCGCTTACTGTGCACTTAACACTTTCACAAGCAGAATCTGGGCTTGCCACCTATGGGGAAGTGAGCGACTGCAGCAAAGAGTGCGTGTATGATGATACAGATGAGTCTTATCGAAAGAAAAGGCCAGCAAGCGAGGAATGTTCAGATATTAAGGAAAGAGCCCAAGAAAACACAGAGTTGGTGAGTGGTGAGAAAGGAATACAGCATTCACCTTTGTGCGATAAAAAAGAAGAAGAAAGGCATCATGCCTACGCTGTTGTTCATAAAGAAAGAAAAGAGAGGGGCAATGCTGAAGTAAGCACTCTCATAAAATCATCATGCCGCCCTCAAGAAGGAACAAGTAGGGTATCTGTGGAGAGCGAGACACCTCAGGCTGGAGGGAGCATTGAATATCTGTATGCAGCTGTTGACAAAACAAAAAAGAAGAAGAAACAGCCACAGGTAATACATTTCACGAATCCCTATTACATTTTTTTTTTTAACTGAAGACCTGTTTTGCCTTCACCTGTATTGCCTTTAGTTCTATTTAATCTAAAAACACTTGATACATTCACCTCTTCGATTCAAAATATAGACTGATGACGTCAAGCGTGCAGCTGAAATACGGCAGCTGGACTTGCTTTAAGTATCTAAATTCTCCTCAAAAGTCTGCAAAGGTATATCAAAACTAACAGACTAACAAACAAATGTAACACCAAAAAAAATCACAGCAAAAAGGCAAGTCTGATCTTGTCAGCTTATCGTATTCGTTTCGTTTATTTCGCATTAGCTTCTATGTTGTTAATGTTATTCGGCATCACTAGTTTCACGAATTGCCTATAAAATACCATTAACTTTTTACGTTTGATCTAGAAGCCTCCTCCATACCGTGGTCATGTGTACGCAAATCTGGTCCATTCACGAGAAAGTGGCGCAAAGCTTGTCAAAGAACAGTCCCAAACAGTGAACGCCCAATTCGATCACGCCCAGACAGCAAGTGTGATGATATCACAGCAGAATCTAGAGGAAAAAAAGAAAGGCAAACATTACTGAACTCTGTTCGTTTCCAATCCTAAAAATAATTTCATGAAGAACATAAAAATTAACTCAAACCATAAAGAAAAATGATTAAATTGTAGTGGAAACAGTAAACAGTAATCACTTGTTCTGTCCTTAACCTTTTTGGTAGAAATCATTTAAATGGATGGTATCGTGATGTTTGCAACAATGTGAAATGTTGTGTATCAGAATACTTTGGATGATTCATTTTAAGGTACAAGAAAAACCAAAAAAAATCAGTGTTACTCAGAAGGGATAAGTTTGTATGGCGATTAGTTGGAAATCAGCGCACTGCACCAGGGTGTATTGAAGGAAAACCTTTCAAAAGTTCAGAGCGCTTTGAACTTGTTTCTTAAATCCATGTTACAGGGCAGCATTATCTTTGTATAGTCGAGCTATCGAGTGAAGTCAAGAGATTATAATCGTTTGGTAAAGTATAAAACTTTAAAAATATCCTTCATTTTTTTTGCTTTTATAATTCAGTTAATTTCTAAGGTCTGATGACTTTTAATTAAACTGCAGCGTTAAATATGTCAAATTCTAGTACTCGTTTTAACGTTTGTATTTTCAAAGATCATGGTATGGTGTATCATAAAACAAAACACGATAAGTAAATGAACAATTTGATTTAATCGATGGGAAATATATATTTAATAACTTGAGTAGAGTATTTGCGATACATATAGATCCTACTAATGAAAATGACACAACTATCTGCCAGTAAATTCTGGACGGAAGGGTACTCCGGCAATGTCTTATTTGTTTCACATATGTGAAATGGATTATGTTTCAGTCACTAGGCTTTGAAATTCAAGCGATCAGTTATCTTCCAACTGACCAACTGTCCTGTAAAGGACATCGCTAACACCGTCTAGTATGCGTAAAATTGAGTCAATTTTCGCCGGCCGAGCGCCAATTTCCCGCTCAAATTTTTAAAGGAAAACTTTAAAAGACAACTGCTGTCCTGCAAAATAGGCGAAAAAATGTTGAAAGTTCGTGGAAATCTTATAACCGCCTAAAGATATAGCCGTTAAGCGCATAAATTGGCGCTTCTTAAACGTAAGTTGACAAAGAACCTCAACGTAGAAATTTTTCGTTATATCATCAGGATATGATCATACATTAACCATTAGCCGTGAAATGGCCAAAATTTTTAACGTTGGTAGAAAAAGCCATCATCTCACTGATCTCTCCTTTAAAAGGAAACAAATGAAAACTCTAGCCTTTTATAATACAACGAGTGATATTTAAAAAAAGACGACTTCCGGCATGAGCAGTTGTTTGTAACTCGTGTGAGGATACACGGATTTGACAGCCTGAGAGTACGCCACCTAGTCACTGCCAGTTTCACACATGCAAAAACGTTTGACTGTTATGTCCACTCGACTGTGCCTCGTAAGCCACTTTTTCATTTTTCCTACCCCGTTTTGGCGTCACATGTGATCTATTCTTAAACAGAGGCAGTTAACGTGAAGTTCATTTGTTTATTAGATAATCACAACTACAAACCTCACGTTGCACCATAAACTGTACTATAGATTCCGGCCTTTTTCGCGAAGCTTATTTAAAAAAAATAGATGTGCGCAAACGTGTATCAGTTGGTGGTAACAGTTTATCATATCAAGTTCTCGTGTTAAGAAGAATCGGTCCAACTCTTCCTATGGATGGTAAAGTATCAGATATAAATAGTTAATGGTATATCAATAGATAAGATTAAAGATTCCTGGTCATGGGGAATTTCACACTTGATTTTGAAATAATAGAACAAAAGGTTACTCATCTATCACGAACATGTTTCAAAACAAAAATAAAAATGTAAATGTGAATGCAAGCTGTGTAAAATCACCATAATCCAGCTCCGAAAGCAAGTGTTTTGTAGCTCAGCCGATTTCTCAAGACGGACTCAAATTTTTATTTTTTCCATGTGACAAATAAACAACACTCTTCATTGCTTTCGGCCCTCATACACACCCTCTTCCCCTGTTGCTTGACCTTGTCACCTAGTTCGCTGTTTCTAGTCCATGGCTAATCCAACTGTTAAAAAAAAAATTACCACAATTTTCCACAAGTTATCGTCAGCAACTAGCAGGATTATGAACAATTACGACAATAGATCAGAGAAAAACAAAATAGGAAATTTTGTAGGTCAGAGTTAGGTGGAGCATTTTCAAAGCACTTTGTAAATCAAAATGTGACACAGTAAATCAGAAATCCTGCGGAGAAGTAAGTAGACAGATATGATCAGGCCCTCAACATGAGGAAATGAGCCATCGTATCACGTGGGCTAAATAATTTCGCGAGGAAAGATAATTCTCGAGATTTGATGCGCGGGTAAGTCGAGATCGCGTTCATTTGACCAAATTTTTCCGGAGTCCGATAGGATCATCCGATCACTTGCCTCGTTCTACTGTATGCCTCTTAAAACACTTTTCTGTGAGACGCGAAATGACTTGGTAGATTGGCAAATCACACTTCGTTTATTTTGATGGCTGGTTGGGGATCTAAATCTGGTTGACTCATTGTTGAATCTTAAGAAGAATTTCGAACACCATACTGTACAAAGTCAATAACCCAAATATTTCCGGTAAATTTGATAAAAGAAAGATAAAAAAAAGTAGATTCGCATGCAATTGAATAAATAGATGGATTGCGTGACTTCGTGACTTCAAAATCATGAAGTCTGAACTTTTGTCAACCGAAAAACTCTCCAAATTTCTTAATCTAGCTTACATGTAAGTATCTTACTCGAATGAAAACCGAAAAAAGGTATGAATATATTCATACCTTTTTTTGGTTTGTTCTGTTGTTATAGCCAGCTACAATATCACCGATTGCTATTGCCCAATAGAAAGTTTTCTCTGAGCAATAGTCACGAACCACAACTATAACGTTTGATGAAACGTATTCCCTTCGGAAAACCTGCTTATAAAGAAATCAACTTGATTGAACATATTTGTTTGCCCGTTGATAACCGCGTTGTTATCAATAGGAAACAATCGTTTTCCGGGTGCTAGCTATGAGGGAAAACAGCCGAATAATGGAACGGAATACCTCAATTCACCGATTGGAAAGCAAGGGGAAATTTTGGATTGTCTTATTCGAAGAAGTTAGGAAGCGTTCGCATAATTTTGCTTTTTCTAAGAGTAAGAGTTCATTTCCCGATCAGTTGAACATTGATTTTTTGACATGAATAAATAGGCAATATTGTTAAAAGTATTAAAAAGTGAGCGTGAGACACTATGGTAAATCATATAATTGAACACCCCTGAAACGCTAGTTTGCAGTTTCCATAGTTAAGATCATGATATGTAAACGCCCCGTAACGGAGTTATCCAGCTTTCCCTATAAATGAGCGTCTTTGCGGATTTCTTTCAACTGAAGTTTGTGGTCAGTTTTCTCAACGAATATAATCACACTTACACACGAATGATCAGATGAGGCTCTTTATACGTACAGTAATGTCAATCGTTGCGAATTCAATAAATGGCTGATGAAACTAATAAACGGTTGAGCACTGCCTGTGCTGTTTCATCCACACTCCGTGAAATTTTGTTCTTCTTTATTTCAACTTCAACGTTTTCAGGCGGATCAAGTTGGTTTAAACCGAAAAAAAAACCAAACAACAAACAAACAAACAAACAGGCAAACAAAACAATAAGAAAAGAGCTGCTTAAGAGGAATTTTTTGAGTGGCATAGCCTGTCAATTGTTCTTTAAGTAAAAAAAAAAAATAACGGATAATCGATTCTTCATGATGGTTTGCGGATAAGAGCTTGTGCAAACTGCTACGTCCGAACAACTCAAAACTTTCAGCTCCACCAAAACAGTACATTGAGGCATAAACATGTCAATCATTTCTTATTGCTACTGTCTCTTCCCTCTCCAGTGGACCTCTTTTTAAGGGTAATGTTGAAAGTGCAAAATGGTGGACTCTACAGAGGCCAAATTTCAGTTTTTGCGAATAGTTATGTACTCCTCCTGTTAGGACTTTGAAGAAAAACTCTCCCTACAGAATAATTTTTATTACAATAACGTATGCCTGCTTTATTACTTCGCATCATGCCGGAATTATTACTGGAAACGAAAAAAAAAATTAAGCATTCCAGGCCTTTAAAATTGGAATAACTTAGTTCTATATGGTTACAACAGAAATAATGGATTAAAGCCGGTTTTTCGTTTGTTTCCGTTGTCTGTGTCGTTGTATGTGTTTTCACAGACTGAAGCGCATGGTACTAAAAAATAAATTTCCAAAGTATTGCCAAATCGAAAAAAAAACAACAATGAACGACGACGAAAACAACCAATAAACAAATACTTCCGTTAGTTCTGTTCCTTAAACACCTTATAAAATTTCGATTTCAACTTCAGGGAACATTTCGACCGTGTTTGCGCTAACTTGGAATCTACGGGATATTATGAGGGCTGCTGCTTGCATTTTTTCACTGTTTGCGCTTGTTGTCGTTAATGCTACTGAGGACCAAATCACCAATGGTAAGCACATTCATCCTTAAGTATTCAATCATACTCTGAATTTATCTTGGTAGAATATAAACTGAGTGCATTCAAACGTGTACACTGAAATACATATATATATATCTTTTTTTTTTATTTTATTTTTTTTTTTAACGGGGATTCCGTTACAACTGACTCATTGCACTCCTTTGAAAGAAGGTCAGGTTTGTGTATATTTGGCAAGAAAAGCGAACAAGATCGACAAATACATGGGAAACATAATTTGAAAAGGACATGAGTCGATTATCATAACTTGATACTTTTTATATCAGCTTCCCTCCGCTTCCATCAGCTCTTTTCCTTAAAAACGTCATCAAATTTCGATTTCAACCTCACTGAACATTTTCGACCGTTTCTGTGTTAAATTGAAATATAGAGCATATTTGGAGGACCACTATTTACACCCTATTTCTGTTTGCATTTGAATTTATCGGTGCCCCAAAAGTGCACGCTGTGAATGTATCTCTCTTGCGGGGATTCCACTCCAACTTTTTTAATTCTCTCCTTTAAAAACTTGCCAGGTTTGTATACATTTAGCGATAAAAATCGATGAGGGTCGACGGATGGGTGAGGAAAAGAATTTGAAAAGGATATGAGTCGATT